TTTGTTTTATATATATAACGATTGTAAAGTTTTAATGGGCATTTCAGCTAATGATCCGGAGAAACCATTAACTACACCGAAAAGAATAGGTCCAAATCCACTAGATCAGTTTCTCAATGATGATGATTAGCACATTATGTGATAATTTATGTTCGCTATCCCATAAAGAGACACTCGTCTTTTTTTTGTCATTAAGCATTAACATAAGTACGACTGCAGGAATTCCTGAAATCACCGTAAGCTATCTTTTCAATGTAATAATATTTCTTTAGCATTTTATTAACTTTCGAGAGTTTTAAATTTTAGCAATTCTTCTCGTAAATTCTTATATTTAAAATTCTTAGAATTTTTAGAAGTTTCAATTTTAAAAGTCTTTTATATTATTTGAATAACGGCTTACACTCTTTTGGCTATTTCTGAAAATTTAAATGTTGGCATTTTGCAAAATACTTACAGGCAATTTTCTCATACTGGTAATTGTCAACACTGTACAATCAGTATGCGTGTACTCTTGTGTATCACCTAGTCCATAAAAATAATTCTTTAAATAATTAAGCTATCTTACGCTGAAAACAAATTCAATTTAGAAAAAGATGTACAATAAAGTAATTTTTATAGCAATCTTCTTAATACTGAACTTTCGTTATAGCATATCTTTATCCATTTCCTCTTTAATCACAAAAAAATTATTTAATCAAACGTTTACACATTTCTAGTTTACGAAAGTGTAGATTTATAATTCAGAAACGTATCTACTTTATTCATAAATAGATATTCTTTTATGAACATATAATCCACACAATCTACATTGAGATATGGAGTTTTTAAAAATAACATAGAGAGAATATTTGCTACGTGTCAGAGATGGCAAATAGGAATCAAGGCACAAAAAGTCCAACATTTGAAAAAATATAAACCTAATTTGTGCGTCGGTGTATTTTCATATATACATGTTGAGTACAATGATACTCTTTCATTTATATACATCTCTCACATATATTTTTTACAGAGTCTGGGTGCTGTTTCTTGTACAACAATTATATATCTTTCCTTTTTTATCACAAACAATAAACATGGCTCATAGTCAAAATAGATGTCCATAATGTAATTTGTGGATGGTTACAGTTGCCTCTTGAGTCTAGTCCATTCTTTTGGCACCTCGTGTGCTCCATGCAACTAGCAGGTTCCAAGAAAAGTACAAAGAGAAACAATGAACTTGTGAAGCTAAAAGAATAAAAGCGTACCAAAGTACACCATATGGCAGACTCTGAAAAGTAAAACAATAAAAGTATGATTGTTTTATGTTTAAGAACAAAATACAAGAAATATCAAATTCCTTTTTTCAAAAGGAAATCTTAATTAAATGCAAATATAATTAATACACATACATCTTTATTTAGTTAAAAAAAAAGTTAAGGATATTTAATGACATTAAAAAAATAAACATACCTGCCACAAATGAATGTCATCAGATTTGCCTACAGTTAAGTATGTCCAGACATCCTTGAAGTAATACACTATAGCATAACCTAACGGGCCATAACCTAACAGGATGATACCTATCATATATTTTTGCAGTGTTTTAATCCTATTTCTTTTAATCGCAGAGAGAGCGAGAAAAGATAATAACAAACTAATGCACCATATATACTCCCACCATAATGGCTGAAATAGAAGGAAAATTAAATCGTTGGATGATTAAAAAACTCATCATACATTCAATATCGCTAATCTAAATATGACATATGTGATAAAGAAAAAGACAAAATACATAGAAAGTATATGATTTATATATAATATATTGCTTTAGCTTTACAAGTTTAAAAGATATTTTTTATTAAACTTTCATATCATAATTGCTTAAAATATAGCCACAATTATAAACAATGATTATATTGAACTTTACATCTATATTAAAATATTTTATTATACCTGTGGTACTTGTAACTCCTCGATTTCCAAAATAAATATATCCAGATGATCTAATATGTCTGCAGATAGTTTGGCGAGCATGACGAAAAACAATAGATAGTGAAAAAATATACAATACTTCAGTCTTGATTTGTTAGTTGCACTGGAAACAAGTACATTTTTTTATATTTTAACAAAAATATTTTGATATATATCCTTCTATATCTCATATTTCGCAATTCATATTAATTCATATTAATTCATGGATTTAATTTTTACCTCCAAGTCTTTTATCCATCTAATATTCAAGAACAAACTACATAATTCGAATTTTTACTCAATAACGAGTACACATTGATGCGATTGATATACACAAAAAAAAAATATATATATGATATAAATTGATAGTTGGTGTAAACAAAAAAAAAATATATATATATACAATTGTTTAAATAGATACCAAACATAAATTGATATTATCGTATTATTGGATGAATGAAAATAATGAAAAAGTAATTTCTGCGTTTTTTTTCGCGTTTTCTCACCTGACTTGGTAGTGTGTCGCGATTTTTTGTCGGTGACTATAATCACTCCCATCTGTTCCCAGAGCCTGGGAAAGCGTAACTTTCGAAGCCATAATCGGTAAGGTTTAGTCTCTTCTTTGAACGAACATAAGATTCATTCGAGCGGAGAAGTTAAATCCAAGGCAATTTATGCGCGGTGGTTCATCAACGAGTATTTAACTATTTTTAAACTTTACGCAGCCAGATGGGAAACAGAGTGGCCTCGTCAGGCTTTGGCAGTCCCCGTGATTCCGAAACAGTCCGGAGTATCTCAAAGTATCTACCCAGGGCGACGTAACCCAAAATATCAAGAGAATCCCGACTGTCCAAAACCTCCGAGAGCGCGCTAAGATAAATTGGGGGTGGGGGGCGACCATGGTGGAAGGGATAACATGGTGTGCTCAGTTTGCAAGCATCTCTCTTCAAATCTCCGCCGTCTCTGTCTATAGGTTTGTTCGCGTTGCTTGCACTTTTGGCACTCGACATCTTCGCTTTCTCTCTTTTCAAGGCAAAATATGTATCTGTCTCATTTTAAGTGCAAAGATATTTGAGGATTTTATGCAACGCGAACAGGGCCTATGAATGTCGCATAAGATTCAAAGGCTGCCAACTGTAGATTTGTCGCGTCGCATGCTCCAACACGCTCCAATACGGTAGTTTCAACCTGAGACTTTCTTTAAATCTTAAAGTATAATCCAATCAACGCGACGAATCATAAAACGGTTGCAAAACTGCTGAATCTGCTGAACGCAGCCAATATATTACCATTGACTATCGTCCCATCGTCGACTTATAAACTTGACTCTTTAATTCTTTTCAAGTGTCGAATTATATTAATTTGGAAAATATATACATTAAGTTTAATACATTGATTACTGTAGGTTACGAGATACTCTTCGACAAATTTTTCGTTCAATTATAAACTTTATTTATCAATTCGTAACAACATAGATGTCTCCAAAGGTCTCAAACTACACATGCAGACACCTGTTTCTTTATTTTCATTCGCATTGTGATTTATGTACAGATGTTATACTTTCTTTAATCCTATCCCAACCATAGACCTAATAAGAATAGACCGAGCGTGAAGTTTAAAACGTGAAGACTAGGTAGAAAAGGACAGAACATGGATGCCGCGCACTGAACTCTATAACACTGGAATGGGCATCTCCGCTGTGATGCATAGAAAATCGCGTGACTGTCTACAAAGCATCGACATGAAGTGCTGTGTGCCTGGGTATTGACATTATTTATGTTTATATACAATTCATGTCCATATAGATTTCCATACATCGATCGCAACGCGCGCGCGAACGCTTCTGATTCGCTACCACAGCAAATAAAAATGGCGGCTGATCAATTGCGGCCACGAATTTTCCTCGATGCCCATTCCAATGTTATAGAATTCAGTGATGCCGTGTAGCTTTCTCTTTCTGACGAGGAAAGAATGGGAGGGAGGAAGTAAAATAATGTGAAAAAAGAAAGTAGAGAGACAGTTGAGTCGAGCAGAGAAAGCTACACGGCATCTGCTCTCTATTCTTTTTTTACCTGATCTTCACGCCACAGTAGAGGACGAGGACACGCTCGGTTTACTCTTATTATGTCTATGATCCCAACAAACACTAAATAGTATAATATAACTATTAGTTATAATTTCCTCCCATTCAATAATATAACTGTTGTTATACTACAGTTATATTGAGTGGAAAATTATAACAATTGTGTTACAGTTTGTGTTTGTTGAGAGTGTGCCTTCCAACAAGCGACACAGTAATCATGTCATCTATGTTTAACATTGGTAAACAACAAGGCTGTAATGATCCATTGTGTCATTTGTGTCGCTTGTTGGAAGACACGCATAGGGTGCGTTCGGGGAGCTCACTACCAGCGCCATCGAATCGTTTTGTCTTTGTTTTTCGTCTAATAAACAACAAGGATAGAGTGATGCGGTAGTGCTGGTAGTGAGCTCCCCGAATGCACCCATTGTGTGTGTGTAAAATTAGTCCGTCTTTGCTAATGTCCGCCAATAGAGTTTATAAAATTCATCAAGATATAAATATCCCCATCGCTTTACATAGAAAAGAACTCTAGCTGCTCTCAATAATGTAACGCAACTAATTTCTCATGGACATATATTTTATAAAGCTCCTATTCTTCAATACAAATTTACATTGAGAAATAGCTGAAAAACATCACCTGATGAGTTAAATATACCTATAATAGTTACATTTACACCGTACGCTTAGGTCCGTTTCCACCAACGCAGATCATCTTTAATCTCGGTTCAACTTATATTCTTCAATACAAATTTACATTGAGAAATGGCTGAAAAACATCACCTGATGAGTTAAATATACCTATAATAGTTACATTTACACCGTACGCTTAGTCTGCGATTTATACGATAGATGTTTTTGTTTAACTCACAGGATAAACAAGGACACCTATTGTATAGGCTGCAGCTTAAATGCACTAAAGACGAAGAGTAAGTTGAACCGAGATTAAAGTTAATCTATATTGGTGGAAATGGGCACTAGTCTGCGATTTATGCGATAGATGTTTTTGTTTAACTCACAGGATAAACAAGGACACCTATTGTATAGGCTGCAGCTTAAATGGTGTAAACGTAGCCAATGTTCCTGGAAAATGCCCTTTCCTTTACAAATGCTTTGACAAGTCATATCTTTTAGAAAGATCTTTCGAAACAAACATCTTGTTTTACGCTAGAAGGAAAGGGAATGTAATCAGGTACGCATTTTGAATGCCGTAAAAACAGCGTGTTGAGATACTGTCAATCGGTCGCAGTTATTACTGATTGTGCGTCTAATAGACTCTCACTTAGAAGGATCGAACTATTCATAATCGGCGCACTTACAGTATTCCCTGACCTATTGTTACTAAAGGGATAAAAGCTATCGATATTTGTATGAAGAGAGCAGATACCGACCTTATCTATCGGTGAAACGCAGCTTTCGTTTATTCCATGTTGATTTATGTCATTTTGAAGTAACCTAATGTAAAGTTCGACATGTCTTTGTCCGCCGTTACGAATTTCAAGTGTCGGTATCCAACGAAAATAGCATTGCGTCCAAAGCTCGAGACTAGAAACCGCATACAAAGGCTTTATAATTGTTTCGTTTTCCGTTTTTATCTTGTTGGTAGAACTACAAGGAATAAATAAAGGATTATAAAACAACAAGATGTCTTGATCGTTGAATTGTTCTCGCCAGTCCCAAACGCTACGAAGTACAAGAGGTGTGTTGGGATCCTGAAAAATCCAAGTTATATGTAACGCTCGTAAGCTTATTAGCTACCAATCACATATGGAGATCTTCTCGGAAGAAGATGGCCTCAAATAAGATTTATTACCATAGCTGCCACTGCCCGATCTCTCTCACAGTTAAAGATAAAGGTATCAAAAATGGAAACATGTGCCGCGTCCCATAGTGTGGTCAAATATGTTTCCGTAAATTCAAATTCTGTTGGATATTGTTGACACAATTGCCACACACAGTCGAGGTATAAAAGAAACAATGGAGACTGTGTAAATCAAATTAAGATAATTTGCCAATGCTAGTATTCCAAGTTTTTAAGTGTTTCTCAATGGTAAGCCAAGTTCTAACTTGCCATGCGTACCTTTTCTGAATTAGCTTTCACGATGTGGCCTAATCTATCACAAAACGGATGGCCACCAGCGACCCATTCCTTTTGTAATAACGATTGAAAGCCTGCTACAGTACGAAAGTGATGATCCAGCAACAGTTGCGCTAAACTCGATATAACGCAGCACAAGTCTCTAGCAGCACCTTCTAAAAACGATTCTCGTTTATGACACAAGTCGACTTTGATAAACTCTCGACTTTTCCATTCCACATGATAGCGTCAATCGTAAAGTCGATTGCTTCTGTTAAAAGATTCCTTTACGTCCGCTACATTAGGTCTGCAAGCAGATTATCTGAACAACTACCTTGTAAGATGACGGAAATTCCTAAATTAAGACGATCGCAAACTTCAACTGTCTTTTGTAGGCAATACGATATGTATTTAAGCCATTTTGTGTTTTCTAATAATGAATAAAAATTATTATCTTGAATCCAGAATTGTCTGATGTTTTCTGAAATAAATATATAGACATTTTCTTTTTTGTGCAATGTAGATCCTTGCGAGTATTAGTATGGCATATGATAAAAATTTACCTGGTGTGCATAAGCTAATAAATTTAGTGAAACTTGCTGCTATTAACTTTACATTAATTTCTTTATTCAATTCGATAACAACGGGTGGTATCTTTTGAGGATGGCTTTTACGAACATTTTCAAACATAATATTCTCCTGCATCCTCTCTGTAATTGTTGGTAATAATTCAGACATTTTTACTAATGCTGCACCATGGGAACTCGTCCAGGACCATACTGATGGTCTATTACCTTGAAAATGTCTAGCTGCATCTGTCAATTGACTGTCCGTCACAGACGCAGGTACCACTACATATTGCGATAAACTATAGAGATAACGGAATTAAAATTCAGTTCAACGAATTTGTTTCAAATGCATATGTAATTACGTTAATTATGCAAACTATGTAAATGTACTCTTATAATGAGCAAGTTACCTGGGACAAAGTTGAAACTTAGCATTAACCATAGATAATCTCCAACCTTTTCTTATCTCATCGCTACACAACGTTCTTTTCAATTCGTTTTGCCAGTCTGAAATATCCCGAAATAGTTGTACATTTTTGTCAAGACTACTGTAGTAAGCCTCTCTGTAATTAGACATACAAAAATTTATTTTGAGCTTATATGAGTGTGCTATGCACATACATTGTATATTACATTATGAGAAGAGAGGATCTTTTTAACAGTGTAACTTTAACATAATGTTCGTAATTCTTTGATGTTTGTAATACTAACTTGTAATCGTAGGCAAATAATAATTGGTGTCTGCTAGGAAAAGCATGATGTAGTAGTGCAGTCAGAAGATTCTTACCATGTCCAAGAGGTGAAAATTTGAAAGAAAACGACCATGTTCTTAGATTCTGCAATTTATAATGCAATACATAATTTTTCTTCATTGTAAATGTTTATAGTTTATATACAATAAAGTTAGTTGTTGACTTTAAACAATCATTAGTTAGTGCTCTGCGATATCTAAACTAAAGAATCGATTTTCGACACTTATTCTACCATCAGAGAGCATCATAATATCAATACAAGATCAATCACTTATATACGTTATAAAATAATAACTTACTTTGCAAATAATAAATATCCCTTTTACTTTGGATGGTACTGTATTACCAGGAACTAACTTCCTTTTCTTATCTCCTACCATAATGTAAATTTCATCGATATTTGTCAAACACGTATCCGTATATCCATACAAATGATTTTGTTGGCGAGTAACATTCTGTAACACACATTCTTGGATATCATGTCTAAACATCAGTTCACACTTTGATAATCAAACCAACGATTGCAAAGTTATATATCGTTTCGTGTATATATACCTCTCCATTCGAATCACCACTGGTAACAAAAGTAAGTTTAAAATTAGTCACTGACAAAACACCAGATATTCCTTGTTTTAGATCACTAACGGGTAGAAACATAAGAACACTTTGCGCCTCGGCAATAAGAACTTCTCCTGGTAATAATTTTATACTATTTTCAACTAATGAATTACGTCGGCTGGAACTAAAGGTCTACAAAAGGGTTATGTCCATTAGCGATTTGAATATTCAGATGCTTCTGCAATTTTGTTGATTAAGAGCTTATATACCAATGCCAAGATTAATTAAAAGCGAGAATGTACATACAAATTTAAATACAGTTGACAATTACCTGTAGCTCGTGCTCCTCTAATCCTACGTAACTAATAAAGTTGTTGCTACTTTTGTTTTCCATGATATTCAATCTCGAGATCGATCTCAAGAAAATCAAAATTTGCAGGTTTAATATGGTTCCTGCAAAGTGCCGACAAGCGCGTAAGTGATATAACGCTTCATTTAATTTTCTTCTCGCATAATTGAATCGAAAATCCAGTTGACACTTCACAACTTTTTCAGGGTACTACGATATCGTTCGTGGAAGCTAGAAATTTAAACTCTACTTTGTACAAGCCATGGTGGAAGGGATTGACACGGTGCGCTCAGTTGCACCATGATATAAGAAGAAAGGTATATCATTGCACACAGCAATGGCGGCACGATGAACAGAGCCAATGAAATTTGGGTCCAACTACACCCGCGCAATTTAAACACGAAATAATCACATACGGTCATATGTACTTAAAATGTTTGAAAAAATATTGTAAAAATACTTGTAATTATTACAAACGTACAAAAATGTAATGAGAAATAACGAGAAATAACGAGAAATAATGAGAAATAACGCAATATGCTGGATTCTCACTGCATCCGATTTGCGTCGTACGACGCTCTGCAACCAATTAGAAAACAGGGGATCGATTCTGTATCTTGAAACGCGGTGAAAATTACAAAATGAGCAAATTTACTAGGTGTTGACCAATGAAATTATCAATATTCTAGGAAATTCGCTCACTTTTGTATTTTTCACTTCGTTTCAAGATACAGAATCGATCCCCAAAATTTTGCTTCGTATCATCGATACGAAATTAAATTCTGCTTTCTGATTGGTTGCAGGAGCTCTATTCTTGAAAAGAAACGTATACGAAAGCCTAGGAAATACTATAGTATATGTAACGTATACTGTAGCATTTCCCTAGACTTTCGTATACGTTTCTTTTCAAGAATAAAGCCCCAGAGCGTCGTACGACGCACATCGGATTCAGTGTGAATCCAACAATAGCCTTTTCTTTGAGGGTCTCTAGACATAGGGCCTGAACACAATAGAGGAACAGGAATTAGATATTAATGGCGTTTTGCGCTCTCCTATTGGTAGAGAGTGTGACATCAACCAATAGGAAAGATTAATCCAACCCAGGTTGGTGCAAACCCGGTCGGGCCGAAAACGCTATAAGATTTCAACCTATCAGATACTGATTACATTGAAATACACGGTTTCTGATAGGTTGAAATCTTAATATCCAATTCTTGTTCCTCTATTGTGTGCAGGCCCTTATTGGCCTTGTTTATATCGAGGGTTCGTTTCGAGTCGGAATGTAAGAACCAACCAACTATAGTCGAGCATTACCTTGTCATTCGACTGTAACAGGGGAATGCTCGACTGCAGTTGGTTGATTCTTGCATTCTGACCCGGATCGAACCATCGGTGTAAACTAGTAGCATTTTCGGCCCGGCCAGGTTTGTACCAACCTGGGTTGGATTAATGGCGTTTTGTGCTCTCCTATTGGTAGAGCGGGTGACGTCAATCAATAGGAAAGATTAATCCAACCAAGGTTGGTGCAAACCCGATCGGGCCGAAAACGCTATAGGCCATTGATGAAGCTAGGGAATTTTAAAACATGCAATTTTACTCGGATGGTAGCGCTTTCTTTTCAAGAAAGCTTTCTTGTAAAATAGCTTAGTTCAGATTATTTGAATGCTAAACATGGCTTCTAGGACGCAAACATGACTTGTTAAAAATGAATAAGAATAAGCAAGTTGTCGTCGATTTAACTGCGCGCAAGTTATTACCGCACTATTCTTCATCGAACGTGGCTTTAATTAATCAGCTCTAATCTATTCACTGTTAAAATCGTGACGAGATTATGATGGACGAGTGCGATCGTGATGCGGAGAACAATTCAATGATGCCGTCTTTGTCATCATGCGAAACAGATTTTGCGGAATTTCGTCCGCAAAAGGAGCTAGTGTACAATAAATTGTTACCCTACGCGAATGAGCTTGATGCGGAGTCGCGTATATGGCTCGCTGAAATCAAAGGAAATTTGGGACGCGCGGTCATGCTACGTGAGCTAGTACCAGGATGTGTTTTTTGGTCGAACAGGTTGAATTTGTAAGTGACGAAATTTCGCTTTTAGAGCATAGAGATATTTTGTATAGTATACGAATACTGTTTTCCTTTTAGAAGACACACAGTCGTTCTATCCTTGGCATCCAATGAATAACAATGTTTGAATGACATTTATATCAATTGTTTTCTAATAGAAAAACAGCTCAAGTGTTAAGTCTATAATGTGCTCTTTGTTTCCTGTTGGTTCTTACTACTTTTTGCTTCTTTTCCTTTTATCCAGTTAGTTTTTTCGTTTTCTATTGTCTGAGATAAAAATTGACAAACTTTGGAATAGACAAGAAACATATAACGAGAAGTGCGATTGTTGGTAACATGCAAAGAAGGAAGAAAGCATGAGATAGAAAGCAAGTAACAAGAAACAAAGAACTCACTGTAATGCCCGTTTTCACAATATATGGTTACCTATAGATTAAAGGTTACCAACAGATTTATCAATGAAATTCATTCATGAATTTCTTGGTTACCTTTAATCTTTAAGTAACCATATATTGTGAAATTGGCCCTAAGTTAGGCTGTAGCGGCTGTGCACAGTCAAAGGAATGGAGAATAAGGATTTAAACCCTTGTCTTAAATGTGTTCCACATTACATAATTTCTAACAAGTTGAAATTCTTATTTTCTGTGTACAGCTCTTTAAAAAAAGAAAAAAATCCCAAATGTTTAGTGGGGATTCTACAATGAGTAGGTAGTCAGTAATTAGATATCTTAACTAGTCGCTTAGAGCCGATTTCACAATATATGGTTACCTAAAAATTAAAGGTAACCAAGAAATTTACAAATGAATTTCATTAATGAATCTGTCGGTAACCTTTAATCTTTAGGTAACCATATATTGTGAAAACAGATCTTAGTCATACAAGATTTGACTATTGATCAACTTTATTGATTAATGCCCAATTTCTTCGCCTCTAGATAACTTTAACCAAGAGATATCTCCCAGAATACAATGAAGATATCTCCTGGATAAGGTTATCTGCAACTTATCTGGAAGCGAAGAAATTTGGCATAAGACTTAGAACCACTTAGGACTGTTAACTGTCGACTCATTCTATAAGAACCCTGGTAGGACTTAGGCCAGATAATACTCATTAGATTGACTCATGAAGTTCTAAGTGACCCCTACACTTTTGTTTTACATTTTTGTAACTTTGGGTTTTAATCAAAATTTTTTAATTACAATTGGTATTTAGGATTTGAAAGAGTCGGTTTAAAAAAAATTTGACTGGAATGACGAAAACTCTACAAAAAAAATATATATATAAAGATTAAAAGTAAAATAAAGAATGATGTTTTTTTTTACCTTTTTATTGTCACATATTCAACTAATGAATGATTTTGTCTATCTTTTTAAATATACATATAGAATAAATGAATATAATTATTATTTGAGTTATTTATATTAAAATATTGTGGAAGCAATTATTCAAGAAAGTAGAAATGTAAGAAAAAAATTTTATTTCTAAATATCAATTGTGATCTAAAAATTTTAATTTATAATCTGAGTTATATAAGGATTTAAAACAAAAACAAGTGAATATCTCTAGAATGACAGAATTGATTTGTATAAAAAAATAATACTATTATAAAAGGGCAAATAAATTACCTGCATTACAGAAGATTCTATCTCTAATAAGCGTAGTTTTTAAATTTATATTAATTAAGTACCGTTTGCTCATTGTTAATTTATTGAGTACTATCTGCTTTCTAATATGTTTTTAATCTGTTTTATATATTTTGTATTATATCTATTTTATTATGACATTAAGTTAAATTGTTTTTCAGGTACATAGAACTATATGGAATGAAGTTTAGTAAAAAAGATCACATAGCATTTATAAAATTAATGTATGAGCTTGTTACCATACCGAATTTGGATTCAAACCTTATCAACAAATTTTCTACTACTTTGATTTTATTGTTAAAGTAAGTGAAATGGAAATCGAAGAATATCGTTGATTAAGTTATTATTTATTATATTATTAAATATTTTCAAGTACATTTAAGAAAATTCTAAAAGATTGTAGTTAATAAAAAATAGCTTATATATAATTTTAACATAAGTTGTGATTAGAAAATTGTTCCATGAGATAACTTTATTTGGATAGAAAGGCAAGACTGATCATAGATATAACTTTACTTTTTTGAACAGAAACAGTTAACATAATGTGTTATTAATTTTATTATTTCAAGTACTATAAACATTGAGATGGAAATGTGGTAAAGATCTAGTCATAATAAACAGATTTTTTGCAAAAGTTGTTATAAATATAATTTATTTAACATAAATAACCTTAGTTGATATAATCCATTTTTTTCAGGAAAAAGAAATTAATTAGTCCAGATGAATTAGAACTTCCATGGAGACCTTTATATAAGATTATGATACATTGTTTACAGCGCAATACAATTGGAATACATCGTAACCTTTTGTGGTTAAAAACTTTATTACATTGCGTGATATATTCCATAAAAATTTATTTTCCCGTAAGAACGAACGATTTTTTTCTTAAGGAAAAGAAACATTCTGATCAGATTCGGCATATGATTAATTTTGTAACATTATTGTAACAGTTGAGCGCTACGCAAGAAATATTAGATGAATTAAGACCGAAGCTTTATCCTCATGATGGATTAACAATGTGCACAAGTCTTCAGATTTTAGAGTGTTTTTTGCCATTACAACTATCTCCTGAGCATCATTCCATTGGATATCAGTTGTGGTTTGATGAGTTTATGACCATGTGGAAGGTATGCCACAATGGTCAACAATGGGAAAACAGTATGATGTGTTTAATTGCAAGATTGGCAGCTTTTAATATTGGGTATATTGATTGGGAATCATATATTCCCTTCATGTTTACTAGATTTATACGATGCTTAAATTTGCCAGTAACATATAAGCAGACGTCAAACAACTTGAATCACAAAATAGAAATGTCGTCAATAACTATGTGGATAGTAGCGACTTTGGTAAGATATTATGCGTATAATGTAAATGTGGATAAAGAATATGTGCGGGTACACATATAGATATTTATATATATATACATACGTCGACAAAATTATCACAACATAAATTTATAACAAAATTTTGCGTAACTTCAAGTAAGCATAACTCCGTGAAAAATGTTTGTACTTATTGTACTTTATACATACTTATACCTTATACATATACTCATGCTTTATAGGGAAATGGCTCAAGTACACAGACATATTTGGAAAAGTTCTTGAAAACTATAGAAACATATTTTTATCCAGCAAATTTTGGGCGATGGATGGTAAAGTTAAAGGAACTCCTTGTTAAACTTCCATATCATTTTATCATACGTTTACACGTGTACGTAAATGGTTAATATATTAATTTTTTAATATATCAATATTTTCTTTTCTTTTTTTCTGTTTTATATTTCTTTTATTTTTCTCTCCTTTATTTTCTTCGTACCTTCTTTTTTTCCCTTTCTTTTTTTTAATTATTACAATATCTAAAAAGTATAATTATATAATTATAATTTAGTAGAATTAGGGTTTGAACAGAAAAAAATTGTACACAAAACTGGTATATTTCTTCTCACGAAAAGTTTCGGAAAGCCATCAGGAAAGAAATGTAATATATTTGAGACTCGTGACTCGTGTGAGAAATATGCGAAAAGAATTGTGCTAGTTGATTTTTCAGAAGAGAAAAGAATTGAACTAATTGATTTTTCAAGATGAAGAAATTAGATTTTTCATACAAGTTTTTTAAGAACAAATGACTTTTTGCAAAAACTAATAAACATTTAAGGTTGAAACAGAGGTGATTTTTTTGTCATGACGAAAGCTATGTTTTGTAAGAATTTCAAAACCTTGCATACAAATCTCAATAAATAGAGCGAGTGAAAAAAGGCTTTTTTGGTGATCTTAATTTTTTTTTCAACTTAACTAATAGACCGATCTTAACGTTATACGTCACATTTTGTAGGAATTTCGAAAATACCTATCTACATTTTTTATAGTAAACTTTCTTCCATATAATCAATATCTTTCGTTCTATACGAGCGAAAAATCTGCTGTTTGCAACTTGCCCAATTTTTTCGCATATTTTCCACACGAATTATGAGTTTCAAACATATACATTTCCTTCCTGGCCTTTTCATGAAAAGATATACCAGTTTACAATTTTTTCTGAAACGATTATTTTTCAGTCTAATTCTACTGGACTAAATATTATAATAAATTATAGATAAAAATGTATAGGGAAGTAGGAGTCAGCTACAGTAATCAGTCGAATTAATATGTTCAATTTCCACAGAATGATTTGAAATAAATCAAAACGCGTAAGGATAAATATTAAAATAAACTGTTAAAAGATAAGATAAACTATTTTATCAGAGAAATGGATTTTTAAACCTTTTTAGTGTTATATTTGCGCACAAAGTACCGCGCTGACTCTTATACATTCTTGACTGTAATTTATTAAATGCCAAACGGAGTCCTATACCATTTTTTAATTATTGTTAAATATTAAAATATATTTTTTATGCTTATGTTATAGACTATTGAATTGGTTAATATAAAATACATTTTTTATGCGATTTCAGAGAGAGATATACTAAACCAACATGGGAAACTCCAATTCCTGATAATTACAAATTAACTGATTCTGACGTTGATGCTTTCGTTAAGAGTATATTGCCAGTAGCTATGACGGCTATGTTTAATAAATTTTGTATAAATGATGCATGTCAAGCTCTACAGCATCTAGCCACCATGAGACCGAATTTAGTAATACCGGACATGTTGGAAAGAATGCACTCTACATTTGATTCCTTGACTGAACCACATAAACTTACAGCTTCAATGATTTGTATGGTAGCTGTTGCCAGACCAATGGTGCAAGGTTCTAGGAATATAAACGAAGGTATAAAACTTGTACTTACAGTTGTATTTCACAGATATATTTAAAATTAAAACTCTAAAATATTTTTTCTAAATTCAGAACAGGAATGTTCAAATGTTCTTTGACTCAAGGTTTTTTTATGCCAAATTGAATCTTTTTTCAAATCTAAATCGAATCAACGAAATGCAATATAACTATTATCTTTCACAGGTTATGCTTATTCAGAAGGACCGATGCACGTGTTACCGCTGCTATTTTCGTTGTTACCCGGAATTGATCCAAATGACGTTGGAAAAACTTTTGCTACGTTCCGTCTTATTTCCGTTTATGCCACGTTGATCCCTATTGTGGACTCTTCCAGATCGAACGCAATCATGACAGAGGAAGAAAGGATAGTGTGCGAGGCAACGTCGCGTTTTGAAGATTTCGTGTTGCAGTTCTTGGACAGAGTGTTCATGTTCATAGATTCTAGCTCGTCAGAGAATGTGCGACTCGAGAACCGCGGTGGTAACTCAAAGAGCAAGTTGGAGTCGATAGCGGAAGTAGCACTTTCCGGCGTATGTGCGACCCTTCTGAGGGAAATGAGTGATGTAATCTTCGAAAGCGCTCTACACAAGTTACGCACATTTATGACTGAGCGAATTCTCGAGACTAAAGTCGCGGGCCAACTAGCGGCAGCTGTGTACAATACTTTTTCTCACATTAACGGATGCGATACTTTGCGCGCACTATTGCCTGCACTTGCACAAACGATTTTGCTGTTAGTAAGCGAGGAAGAGGACATCTTGAAAGAGGAAAACCTAGATCATCGTCTATTACATGCTATGCTCATACTGTCTGCTATAGTTGACACACCTGGCAATAATTTGATACCACATATGGATACACTATTCAAAGTTCTCGACCGCGTTCTTCTTTTGAGATCGATGGACGGCAATAAATTGGCCTGTCATTTGTTGAAGTCTATTCTGTCGTCATTATCGATGATTATTCCATGGCAGTATAGATCAAATAAGAGAGACTATAATGATTCCAACTATCCGTATGTTAGAGAATGGGGTCAAAGTGTGGATCTTGATAATTTTTACATTAATTGGTATATTCCTGGTGAAGAAGAAATCGCTGCTGTACAACAAATATTCTCAAGATATTTAATGGTTCAAATTGACAAACTTAATAGATACTGCAAAGATACTAGTATATTAAGTAGGTCAGTTCATATATGGTTTTTATTTCAATTATCTTGTATTACGTATAGTCTTTCGAATTAAGATTCAAATTTTTAACAAAGATAGAGGCACACATCTTAACCTGAATTTATAGACACACATATAAAGTGGTATTTAAAAAATACATTTTTTTTACACATAAAATTCTTAAATTAAAAAAAAAATAAAAATTTCAACTGTTAATAAATATAAATAAATACACTGCAGGGAAGAATTATTTGCCAGTTTGAACATCGTATGCAGTATTATTAGAGGTTCCGAATCTGTCCTACCATTATGGACAGAAACACCACTCGAATTGATCAAATCTTCCGTAAAATGGAATGTATCTATAATACCCACATGTGGAATAAAGAGACATATTACAATGCCTGATGGAAGCAATGTTAGACATTATCTGGTTGAAGTCATGAGTCAAATTCAACGGGTAATGCTCGAAAATGCGGAAGACAATACGAAATGTTTCTTCGGATTAATACGGGTATGTATATATCAACCACTGAAAATATACACGATGTTCTATTTTAACTTTGACACTAAAATATGTAAAATAAAAAATACGAAAAAATTATTCAGAAAAGTATACGGTCTGAAAGGGGATAAATAATAATATTCGAAAGTCAATTTTTTTTTTTTCAAGGTCACATAAAGTCATTACCAGTGTTGTGCAAAGTACTCTATTTTTACTATCTGCGTACAGGTACCTTAAATGTACCTTAAAAGTATTTAGGTATACAGATACTTTTATTTTTTACATAAAATTTCAGAATATTACATTTTAATGACAAAACGATGTCTTTAACGTTATAAATAAAACACCAAAATAGTTTACGAGACATTGGATATTTTATTGTGGCACATATATTGACGAAAAATATTAAATATTTTGTAAACTGTTAACTTTTTGATAATTATGTTTAATACCTTCATGAACAGAATAATGAGATGAATCAATTGATGTATAAAAAGAAAACGCATAGGTTATTTAAAAAATTATCCATTTTGCTTACATTTAATATTTGATGTCAATAAGTGTCAATAAAGTATAAAATATCTCGTAAACTATTGGTTTTTTTATGTCTCTATCTTAATACTTTTATATGCAGAATAATTAGAGGAATCATATTATATAAAAAAATATATATATAATTCCGTTAAAAAAATTTTTACTAATTTTGACTTGATCTTCAGGATATTTTCTCAAGATCAATCAAGGTCATCATCTTCTTTTCCTCTTGTAACTGAGCAACTTTTATTTAAAATATTGTTTTTTTTTTAACTTAAGGATTTTGAGATACTACTAAATAGATTAAAATGGAGCTATATAAATTCTTCATTAATCACGTGAGATTTTTAAGAATGTTTTTCTAATATTATAGATTTGGAACAGTCTATTACTGGCAAAGATACGATTACGCGAACGTGATGGACGACGCAAAGGTTTCTTAGCCATCAAAAAGACATTTGAAGATAGATTGGTAGGAAATAAGAGTCACATAGCTTCAGTGATAATGGATCGCTGTGACATTCAGCACGAAGTCAGATCAATTGCGCAATCAGTCGCATTTACAGAAACTCATAAACGAATAATATTTGAACTGTTCACTTTGGCCGTAGGCAGATACGCAGACGTACGATCAAAAGCTCAAACCAGTCTCTTCTCCGCTTTTAAAACTTTCCCATATTCTTACACGCTTATAATGCCGCGTTTAATCGATATTTTGAGGAAAGATACCGAAGAACATCACGATGCATATAAGGTAAGAGTTGTTAGAAACATTAGATATTAGAAACGACAATATAAATATGTAAACAGTGTTTGTTAATATGTAGATGTGCTTTCCAGCTTCTAGTAATGGAAAATTATTTTTAACAACATTGAGAATGACCTATAAGTTGAAATATTTGTTTAGATTATATTTGTATTAAAAATATTTAGCAACAAACATCTAGCGTTGGCTCACATCTTCCTTATTTCCTTTAATTGTATGTTTTTGGAGCAAGTTTTATTTGATTATTTAAGATAATATATATTCTAATAAAGCTAAAATAAAGCCATTTCATCTAGATTAGCTAGATAATTTCATCTAGATACCAGCAAACACTATATATAAAAATAATGATTTACTAGGAAAATGTTGATAATAATAAATTTTTATAAAATATTTAAAAATAGGGTGTTCTGTATATATTGCTCGGACCGCAACATATTCCTATTATTACGCAAAGAGATTTGAATATATTGACATCATTATGGCCAGCCATTGTGCTTTCCAAGCCGTCCGAAAAACTTTCTGTAATTCGCCTGAAACAGAACATTGTAGATACTATAAGTAAATATTTCTGTTTAAATACGCTCGAGCTCGAAATATCCGACACGTGTTTGACGGCTGCACAAGCGTTGTGGAAAGACTTTCCGCAACCAGCTTTGCCACAGCCTGATCGAAACGAGGTAGAAGAGGGTGCATGCAATTTAAAGCAACTTAATAAATCTAATCTGAAGTCATATAGTGATCTGCTCGATGAACTTTTGCGTTGTATACTTGAGGAATCTTTACATTGGCGGCACAGATTAATGGCGATGACTTTCATACGAGACTTGGTGCATCCAAACCAAGTTTATTCCGCAAAATTAGTGCGTTATTTTTTGCAAGCGCTTATACACGATTCCTTGCAAGAAAGAAAAATTGCCACCAGGGTAGTGACATTTATGTTGAAACAACAAAAACGAAAACATTTGAAGGTACATAAATTTTATAAGATTTTGTATAGCAAACATAGGTCTGTTTTCTGTAGCTGAACCAGTATACACTTTTGGAACTTAAAGTAAAATAGGTATATGTTTGAGAATTTGTCAAAAGCGAGAAAAAGACTTCTAGTGCAGTCTAGTGCAGAAACAGAAAACAGACCACATTATTATACCGTTAAACAAAAAAAAATGCGCAAAGACAAAAGTAATTGTTTCTTGTAGTTTGTAAAAGCAGAATTTAAAAACTCTATCATGTCACAATTTTGACAAATTTGTTAAAATTAAAAAAAAACTTATGGGATTCTAAGTAATTTTGCTTATCAGTTATTAAACAGAATTAATATAACTGTCTAACAAATGCTCAAAAAATGAAATGTCTACTATAATTTCTTTGTATGCATTAGAAACATGAAAACTAAGGCGAAGATTTTACTTTCGTACCTCCAGGATACACTTACGAAAATCCCACTTATGAAAAAAAAAACTTTTAAGCAAATAATCCTTTCGATTTTGATTTTGACTTGTTTCAGATGTTTTCAATAAAACATAGTTTCCTAAATTTTGCTAAAAATAAAATTTTTGGATTTGAAAACCATATATTATATCGTATATTATGTTGAAAAATTACAGAATTAATGCTAATTATATACTTGGAATCTTATTTAAACATGATTACAACTTTATTATGATAAATATTATAATAGTTTATATATATAATCAAAGTGTGCGCAACCCACAATTTGTCACATTCAGAGAACTTTTACAGTTCCAAATATATTTTGGGTTGTGTGCGAGTGAGCGTGCGTGCGTGCTACGATATATATTAAAAAAAATAAAATCCGAACTCATATGATAAATATACTGATATTTTAGGTTTTGATCGCTATCTTGAATCTGCCATTTTGAATTTAAATTTTGATGATAGATTTGGGGAATCAGCACCTATAAAACCCATAAAACCGTCTTCATATGAAACGCATCTCTTTTAGGAAACCCGGAGGTACGAAAGGGTTATATTCAATATATATGCCCTTTAGGCATAGGAGTCGGTCTAATCTTTTTGGTAGCTATTATTTTTGGTAATTATTGCGAAAAGATTAAACCTTGCCGACAACCTTGACTTTGATTGTCAAGGTCAGGACTCTGAGTGACCAATAAATTTTAGCCATCGCTCGTTAAAAAGTTCGTTAACAAAAAAAGTTTATCAATAAAACCTGTTTATCAATTTAAAAAATGTTTATCAATAAACAAAACAATGCATTTTTGTATAAAAACAAAAATTATATAAGAAAATATTTTGCATTGTTAAAGCAGGGAATTTGTTTCATTGTAGCACAGTTGTATACAAAAGTCAAGTTTTATTGATGAATTTCCTTGTTAATAACTTTTTAACGAATAACAACCATCAACTAAAATCTGTTGAAAGTTACTCAGGGTTATGACCTTGGCAATATATCAAAGTCAAAGTCGTTGGTAAGGTTTAATCTTTCCGCAATAATTACCTTATTTTTAATATATTGTAGACTCGTTAATTTAGTAAGACGAAAATTTAATACATAAAATGCATGTATATGTAGTCATAGAGCATGATTTTTAGGAAGCTGTAGTGACTCTTATTTAAAATAATTACCTTAATTTTTTATTTATGCATAAAAGAGCTTGTGGGCAATTAATCTGTAGGCAATAATACATATGACTTTTTCTTTGAAATTTCTATTTGTGTATATGTAGACAATCTTTTCCGGAATAATTTTTATTTCGCAAACGAACTGTCGGCAAATATGATGTATAAGGCAAACGGTATTGTAGGGATCAATTAATTTGTAGGCAAAAGGTAACAGAGCTTTCCCTAAATTAATATACATATTAAAACATTTATTTTTTCCAGATAACAGTTGATGTACACAACTTATCCAATGAAAGTATAAAAAAGGAAGGAAAATCGCAAAATATCATGCCCGGTATAAGAGTTGATAATTCTTGGCTTCAGTATAATTACGAAACTCGTCCATTAACCGCTAAACAATGGGACGAGTCCAGATACGTTCACCAACCATACATAGGCTATTACGTTTGGCCAAAAATTTTGGAAGTATACGCACCCTCGTCCCAACAACCCTGCCTTGATCCAGAAATACGTGAGCTGACGGATTGTGAGAGGGAGATCTATTCCTTTTTCGATGATCCGCAAAACATTGAGAAGCTTGTAAATTATTTCAGTTTGGAGGAGAAAAAAGGCAAGGACAAATTCAGCACGTTGAGGTGTGTTCTGTTTAAGGGCGTATTTCGCAATCATGGGATCGTTCATTTGAAACATTTCCTGCCACATTTGCAACGACTGGTAATGGACAAGCATGAAAGCAGCCAGCGATGTGCTGCGGAGATTGCAGCTGGAATAGTCAGAGGCGCCAAACATTGGCCGTTCCAAATGACACTTGACTTGTGGCAGGCATTATTGCCCATCATAAGAATCGCGATCGCGAATCTAACGGAAGAAACCGTTATAGATTGGGGTGTATGCTTCGCGACAATGCAACAACGTAGGGATCCTAATAGGCACCACTGGCTACTTGAATGTCTGATGGAGGATCCACCGTTAAAAGACTCGTTCGTGGAGTGCGGTCGTCTGTATGTACTGCAATCCGCTTTGAACCAACAATCGTGGCGGGTAATGGAACTGCTGCAACGTTTGCTGGTGCGCTTGGAGAACCGATTGCTGACGAATCCGTTTCAAAATGTCCGAGAACGTCTGGGATCAGTGCTGGTTACTATATTCAACTCTGATTTGAGATTCCCGCACAATACAACTGACATTGTGATTCCGCGAATGCAGACTCTAATCGACAAAATTGTGCCGAAATTAGAACAACTTAAAAAGGATGATGATATAGTCGAATCAAGCAATCTTGACAAAGATGAAACTTTATTAGAAAAGGTGGCTAATGTTTCGGTCGATGAATCAAAAGAAACGTCGAAATCCAGAATGGAAGAACAGGAGATGCCTATAAGATTGTTGAAAACTGTTTGCAAATGGATTACGATTAGCCTGGCTCCTTCACAGTATATCATGTCACCAGGATTTTATCAGATATTTCCGATCATATGTCAATTAGAAAACTCGGAAGCGGATGAAGAGCTTAATAAATCATGTTTACGTACCTTAGCAACGCTTGCGCAGGCATTCACATTGCCGGAAGATATGTCAATAGCATTGACAGCAGTGAAAAAAGTATCCGAGCATTCATCGTGGTCTGCCAGGTTCACTAGCTTGGAATTTCTTCAAGTATTGGTTTTTCACAATATGGGCATAATTCTTAGTAACGCGTTGTGGACTAATTGCGTTAAAGATATCGTTTTGCACTTGTTAGAAGATGATCGTTTAGAGGTCAGAGAGAAGGCTAGTCAAGTACTCGGTGGATTATTGCATTGCACATTTATCACAGATCACGAAAAATTACTGGCAAGTTTCTAAAGATTGCTCATAATGCCGAGCCTCTCTAATGATTCTAATTTTCCAACTTTAAATTTTGAGAAAATTTGAGACCCGAATATTTGCCATTGTGTTTTTAGGAGGAGTTTAAGAGAAAAGCAAGGACTCGATTGCAAAAGAAAAATAATTCTATCAATCCAGATGCGTTAGGAAACAAAAATAATACAATACGTATACGTCATGGTGGTGTTCTTGGACTGTGTGCTTTTATTCATGCTCATCCGTATGATGTGCCCAAATATGTGCCTTCAGTCTTCGAACATCTCGGCCTTCACATGAATGATCCACAGCCTATACCGGTAATTTAATCATATATTATAATAATTATGTCATAAAGTTACATAACAAAATTATGTAATTAAGACAAGTAAATCACGTAACAGATTGTTTCAAATCAGTATGTAATTTTTTTAAATCACGTAATTTGATATTAGAAATCATTTTCATCCATCATATGATTTTATAGTTATCGAATTTTAAAAAATTAAATGGGAAATAGAAGAAAAAGATATCATGTAACTTTTCAAATTATATGATTTTTAAAAAATCACATACTGATTTGGAACAATCCATTATGTGAAATGAAAACTAGAATCGCCTCTACAGAGCTGAAGAATAATTACAAGAAATTTGAAATACATTTATTAATTCCACAAATTATAAAATTTTCAAAACTGTGTTATTGTTAAGAAACATGTTCACAATTTCATGTCAAATAAATGTCTGTTTAAATTATTATTTGTGTGCTAAGTCAACGTTCTAAGTATTCAGAGTATTCACAAGGAACATGTCACAATTCTCCGGAACCGATTTGATCCTCCTCGAAATATGTTGTAAAACATAAAAATCTAAGAGACACGTATTTTTCTATACATGTGCAGCTCATATTTAAGAAGTGCAACATACCTTGAAAAAAAAAAACGATATTTCTTTTTCGAGCTGAATATTGTCGAAAGTATAAAAGATGGAAAAAAATGTTTAAACAAAAATTGTACGATTTCAAGAGTACTTAAAGTTGTAAAGAAAAAAATGTTGTGAAACAAATTATTAAAAATTATTAGCATTGAAAATATTTGAATTAATTTGCTAAATATGTGTTATGTGTTAAGCAATTGGAAAGCACCCGTTGGAGATTGCATTCCGTTTGTGTCTCTTGATACAATCAGAAAGGAATGCTTCATCGTATTCAGCGAGTCAAAAAACGGTTATATGTATAATTTATGTTACACATTTTAGGCAAAAATCGGCATCGTGTCTATCATCCCTTGCATAAGAATATTATGCAAGATCCGCATTGATCAAAAATAGGATTGTTTCATTTTAAAAGGAATTAAGTTTTTCATATAAAATTTTCTTTGTGTCCCACATATATAAAAAATTTCATTTAATTAGTAATGCTATATTAATTATATGATTATCAATAATCATATAATTAATTGATCATATAATTAATTAATTAATTTGTTTAAAATAAATATGTTAATTATAGATGACAATAAGGAAAACTTTAAGTGATTTCAAACGGACGCATTACGATGGTTGGACAGGAATGAGAGGTCATGCCCAATGTTTTACGGAAGAGCAATTAGCCGTTTTACAAGATTTAACAGTGCCGCCATCGTATTATGCTTAATCAGAAATGGAATTTTACAATACAGTATAGCAATATAGCATAATGCACTGACTAATGTAATGTCAATTGTAACGAAAATTATATCCATAAAGAATGTAATATTAAAAATTTTTTTAATTATTAAAAATTCTCTCTCAACAAATGGCATTTAAGCCGACATTTATATACTTATTTATATAATTTGATACATAATATAATTTTACAAAGCGTAAATACTGTATCAAAATATTCTAGGTTTTAGCAAAAATTGTATACTCGCAAATATTGTGAATTAAGAACATTATCAAGTTAAAATTGATTTCTAATTTAAATATTAATAGAAACCAGGGTTGGTAAAAAAAACGTTTTAAACGTGTTTTAAACAGTTTAAAACATGCTTAATTGATGTTTTTAATATGTTTTAAATATGTTTTTTTTATAGTACTGTTCAAAGCATATTTAAAGCATTAAAAACATATTCAAGAAGAAACATAATATATTTTATTCTTAAAAAAAAAAAACATTAGTCTTTACCAACCCTGATAGAAACATTACTTTAAATACGAAGCGCCACTACGGTCTGAATGTTAAGATGTTGAACTATTATATATATTCATATTAAATGAATTCATTTCAGAAATTATAATTTATATAATAAAAATTATCAATTTAATGATATATTATCCTAATATTTATGTTAATATAATCGCAAATTTATATCAATTGTCAATAACGTTGGCGTTCTTCAATTACCTCCAGCCCCTTGGGACAAAAATTTGCATAGGGTTGTCGGTCTTTAAGGGAATGCTAAACTGATTACCGAACTTGATCGAGGTCGATAGTACAGACTTTTTTAATTCCGAATTCGATAATAGTAGTGACATCTTTGATTCGGTTCTTACATTATATTATATGATATAACACTTTAATAAAAGTATTATTAATTAGTAATAAAGTAGAAAATGGAGGAAATTACTTTGATTAAGGTATTCATTCATCTTCCCTTCGAAACAAATCAATTTTGGAGACGAAAAACGGCAGGAATTAAATTTAATACATAATATAATTTTGTCTTACTCAAACGCATACATCTGTCCTTATCGCTCAAGTGGCATTTCTTTTTATGATTAAAATCTACAGCATATATCCTCTTTCACGATCTTCGTAATTATCCCATCAATCATGTATAATAAATGTACTAATAAGTAATGAAATTATTTATTATGTAATAAATAAAAAAATTTTTATGTAGTAAATAATACAATTATTTATTATGTTATCACTTACTTTAATCCTATTCCTGTCTCTTGAAACGCCCCAAGAAAAAATGTTTTATATATAATTACATATAATTACATATATATTTATATATACTTTTATATAATTATGTATAAAATATTTTTT